TGGGCCACAGCATCCACTTACCATCAGGTGGACTGTGTGCTCGTTCGTCACCCTTATTCTATAAAAGAAAACAAAAAAACGTGTTTTCTTACTTTCTTTCAAATCTCTTGCTGTACGCACGTCAAAACAGCAAACCGTTTGATTCGAATGCGTGGAATATCAGCTACGAAAGGGTAGAGGCCCGCTATCTGTCTGGTTGTCCGACGGTGGGAGGAGAAAGGAGAAATGAAATCATACAACTCCTGCACAAACTCTCTATAATATATCCCGTAGAACACTGGGACGTTGGAATTTTTGCGTCTGTGCTAGGAACTATTAAGATCGACTTTAACCAGATAGAGGTTATTTTGATGACTTCTTAGCACATCTTTCCATTGAATCCAATCCAGTTTCGTGGCATTATTATTATTATTATATTAAAATGACAAAATAGCAAACAGTACATCCAATGATTAGTAGGTAATACAGACCATGGTCTCTTGCAACGAACTTGAAGAGAGTTAGTCCCTTGCAAGAGAAATTATACAGAATGCATTCTTATACTAGAATTTAAAAAAATGCTGCTATATAGCGGCAGAATTAGGTAGGTACCTATTCAGGTAGGTTCACAGGCAGAACAGAAAGTCCTACTGAATGGTAAGCATTGGCGGGTTGGAGAGGAAAAAGATTTTGCTCCTTTATAACTATAGAATAATTCGTGGTCCATAGATATCTACATTTATCCCCAATTTAGAATAAAAATGCGTTGCTCTCAGGGGTGACCAGCTTACAATTCTGAAAAATTAGATTTCATTGACTTCTAAAATTGAAAAAAATATATTTAAAAAGTCAAAAAGTGGCCGCCTTACACGCACGCTTATTATGATAAAAATTAAAATTAAAAGAGATGAAAATAGTGACGATAATTTTTACAACAAAAATAAACAGAGAATCTGATCGACCTTCATTAATAACTTTTAAATGGCGTTGAGTTCAATAACAAAATAGGATAGGGATCCTCCTTAGAATATATGGAATCTAATTTATTACCACATCTCAATCTACTGCTTACATCTCTATTAGACGAGAAGACTCACCAGCGCACGGACAAACGGACGGCAGTCCGTATATTTTTTCAATTACATTTTGTGTTATGTAATTTAAAGTGAAAAATAAACTAGTCCTATAACTCCATGCACATACATGGAATTATAGGATTAGTTTATTTTTCACGTTTATTTATTACGTTATTGTAACGTTAAATAATATGAATTTGATGTGTATGGCCACATATCTAGAGTAGAGTACTACCTAACGTTGTGAATGTAGAGAACCGGAAACTCTTTTTATTGGAAAACAGGCATTCCATCTTAGTCCTCAGGGGTGACAACGCATCTGCATTTTGATTTTTAATCAACGATAGCTATTGATGTCTATAGGACACAGCATCCACTTACCATCCAGTGGACTGTGAGTTCATTTATCACTCTTGTTATATATAAAACACTTAATCCCCACTGTCAGGATGTCAAGCGTGGCCACAACATTACCACGAGAGGGCCTATCTCAACTGAAGATTCTTTACTGGCTAGTAAGGCATAGGTACCTATGGGGGGATGAAGATTGGCAATAGCTTTCATTTTTATTTTGCCTTCGCCTGGTTTACATTCTGTCCTACGCTGTCTGAATTAAGTATTTCTTACCTTCCCACGACGCCGGCAAGTTAATATATTTAGCAGACATCTCGCCACCCAAACTGGGTAGCTACAACAACGTCAAATGAATAATGAAGAACGCTTGGCAAAGCAACTCCCTTTCGTAATACGTTTCACTGTTCAAATTCCGCCTGCCTCTTAATCATTATTATATATAATTATAGCCGAAATAATAAGCTATCTCGGTTACTTATCTGTTTTAATCTATCTCCTTATGAGTTACATTAACTAGTCATTCTCAAAAATTAACATAAAATTTTAATTGTAATGTTTTACGTCACTCGATCCACATTAAAATGTTGTTTATATTACATAAGACAAATATTGCTGATATCTAACTCTAAGTTCTGTAACAAATGTTTGGGCCCCAAATGTATTTTTATTGTTGTTTAATACTGTTCCGCGTCACCAACATGTCTGATAAATAAATTCACTCTAATATATGTATACATAATAATAAAATACATAGAAATGTCCTCTGGACCGTCGGTCACTGCGGTCAGTCGCAACGAAGAATAGCCGTCTGCGCTGAACAGGATTATAATACCCGAGTGAATGCGCAAGGATAGAAATCTCTATTCCCTCACTCTCATAGTTCGATGGGACGACGGTCTTCCGATATGAACGGAGAGAGATCTGGCGCAGGATTAATGGATTTAAGTGCTTTTTGATGCACGAGGGTGAAACTTCGCTAACTTCCTGACTCCAGAATGCCACTGAAAAATTCTTGACAGAAAAATACAATAATTAATTATGGCCCAACCTGGGATTCGAACCAGAGAACTCATAATCAATCATTGCGTTTACGACAACTAGACCAATGAGGAAGTCATACAAACTCAGTCATACAATGATTGTTTGGCATACAATGATTGTCAAAGTTAATGATTTCTTATATTTACGCGAACACTATACATTGATTAAAACTACTTTTACGGATTTTATCGCGTTTTATTTATATTAATTATAATACCCGACGTTTCGCGTGCTTTCCAGCATCCGAAAAGTCCCCCGTGACCATGCGTGCTGGAAAGCACCCGAAACGTCGGGTATTAAAATTAATATAAATAAAACGCGATAAAATCCGTAAAAGTAGTTTTAATCAATGTCAAAGTTAAGTTATAGTTTATATACGTCCCATGGCTGGGCATAGGCTCGTTCAAATTTTTCTCAAAGTTTCATTATTATTATTATCATACAGGCCTTTTGAAGCCCACTGCTAGTCAAAGCCCTTCCCTAAGTAATGCTAAAAGCACGGTTCTAAACCATGTGCATGACATCGACTTCCTGCATGTCATACCATTCTTTTAGTGTCACTCCATCCTGCAAACGTTCTTTAACCCCTGAGCTACTACTCCAACTACGAAGATTTTTCTCCTGTCCCCCTTTCAAATTTTCATGAATTAATATTTAATTATTATCAAATACTAAATTGGTGCATCTTTAATCTAATATAGGTACATAGTTTTATTTAGTAGCGTAGTCTAAAGGAAATGACGACAAAATACTTCTTATATAGCTACACATATGTAGAATGTATTTTCTTGAAATTTTCCTTAAGTATTTTGATAACAATTCATGAAAATTTGAAAGGGGAACAAAACCGTTTATATTATATTAATTAGCAAGTAGTGATATAATGCATGCATAGTACGCGTTTTGTAACTAACTCCACGTGAGTTGTGGTGTATTGTATAAAACTCAATGCAGAATTTTTTATTAAATTTAGCGATGAAATTATACAGAATAAACTTTAAAAAATATATAATAGTAATTTAAATAATTCTATTATAATCTGTTCTATTAATTTAATTGATTGTAATTACAATCAATTAAATTAATAATTAACTTTGCGCCAATGGGCCACAGCATCCACTTACCATCAGGTGGACTGTGTACTTGTTTATCACCTTATTCAATAATAAATATGTGGCAGGACTATGTCCAGCTGTGGACTTTTATATGCTGTAATGGTAAGTATTTAACTATAAATATACATGATTTTGTTGGGGAACATGCCTCCCCTCATTGTCTTGGTGTTTTATGGTGTCGGAAATGTTTACAGAGTAGAAATGACTACCTCATTTGCCTAGTGGTCGTAAACGCGATTATTGATCATTAGGTCCTCGGTTCAACTCCAAAACCAACTACTGTTTTTCTAACTCTCAGTAGTAGCCTGGAGTCAGGAAAGTGGCTGTATTTTACTCAGCTGTTGTGGAAAGGTTTTACTTTACGTGGTACAGCCATGCTGCAGTTGTATTATAGTTTTAGCACGAATGTGTGGGCACGACCGGGGAAGAACCATGCTCTTATAGAAAATCAGCGTGTTTCGCATGGTGAGTGTAGAGAACCGGAGACCCTTTTTACTTTAATTGAGGCATTCCATCTTAGTCGTCAGGAGTGACAACGCATTTGCATTTTGATTCTCAATTGAAGATAAATGAAGATTTCTATGGGCCATAGCATCCAATTATTATCAGGTGGACTGTGCGCTCGTTTATCGCTCAATGCTGTATAAAAAGCGGACGTAAGCCCTTGGGCCTGCGCCTGGTCTCTCTCCGGTCGTGTCGGATTACCGTCCCATCGAACTATGAAAGTGAGGGAATAGAGAGTACACCTATGCTTTACGCACACATCCGTGAACGATTTATATTGCTGTCTTACGCAAAAGGCTAGACTCTCAGACCGGCTGCCGTGACCAAAATTTGCTTTAGAAGACATTATTAGAGAAGCAATAGACTACCATGCTGCAATGCTTCACAGCAAACAAGAAATATTAAGAAAATTCGTGACAATGTTTTTTTTTTAAAGAATAATGCACGTAACAAGTATTTGTATGACAAATAATTGTTCCGAGCCTGTGAAACTTATGTATGTAAAGCATTACGATGCGGAAGAAATTCCAATTATGAGGTTACCGTTTTTTGTCAATTTGAAATATTAATCACAATGTAGGAGTCCCTCTTTCCACCAGAGTTTCTTTTTAGAATAGTTAACTTTTTGAATGAATCCTACAGATTTTCAAGTATTATGATTAATTATTTAAATGAATGTAAGGAAGGAGGATTTCTTTTTACTTTCTCTGCAAAAACTAACGGCATTTACCCGATTTTGGATTATGGAAGTAGGAAGTGTTGGATCCAGATCGATTGGTGGCTGTCCAGTGAAAACTCAAACGTAATTAATATAATAATGGTTTGGCGGGGAGAGTATATAACTCACGCGTGGCCGCGGCCGCCATTCTCCGCGCGAAACACCGCGCATGCGCCCGACTCGCGAGTGACAGTGTGACAGTTGACCTACAAAATGACCGCCAAATTTTACGTAAGTGTCAAAATTAAGTGTTATCATAGGATTGCTGTGTGATCTTTAAACTTAGTGGGAAATTTATTTAACACATTATGGGAAGAATATATATAAATAATTAGGCAAATAATTGACAGATTAAATAGTTTAATGTTTAGCTGAGAGAAAACAACGTGAAAAAATTAATCGATACTAAGTCTAGATTAGTTTTTTTTGGATAACGCCTGGTTTTGGATTAAGAAAGCGCCACTTTTGGATTGTTCATTATAGTGATTGGTGATTCAGTGTGTATGTTGTTTTACGGCTAATGTTATTGTAAACAAATAAACGAAGGATAGTCGGCTAAACTTAGGTTGAATTATGACCGTAGGCTGACGTTATCATTTTTCATGCTCAGTCATCAAAATTTACGCAATCACTCCGCTAAAATGTAAAAAAAGCGAAAGTAATAAAGAAATATAAATGAAATAAAATGTATGGAAGTATTTTAAATATTTAATAACAAAACTAAATCTAAGATTAGCCGATTATTGATTAAAACTACTTTTACGGATTTAATCGCGTTTAATTTTACTTTTAATTATTTTTATTTTTAATTCCCGACGTTTCGGGTGCTTTCCAGCACCCACGGTCTCGTTGGACTGAGGTGACTGACGTCCCGATGTCAATATTAAACCCGGAGCACGTTCAGCTTTTTTAAATATTGTTTACGGTCCGATCTATGCAAAATGAACTGATTATGTCATGAGGTCTTGCAGTGGTATGCTTGGGTTTAGTTTTAATTTTATTGATTATAGGGTCCCAATCAGATGACCCTATAATCTATAAAAATGAATTTTTAAAAATAAAAATAATTAAAATTAAAAGCGATAAAATCTGTAAAAGTAGTTTTAATCAACGTGTAGTGGTCGCGTAAATATAAGAAATCATTAGCCGATTAATAATAAATTTATTTTTAAACTAACTATCCGGAACATAACTTGGTTAAGTGGTGATTCTCAACCAATGAATTACTTTTGAACTGCTTGATAACCACAAGCACTACATTTTGAATCTTAATCAAGATATATATATATATATATATATATATATATATATATATATATATATATATATATATATATTGCCTTGTTAATATACTTTAATGCAGATTTAACACTGCAGTTGCACAGCTAAAGTCGACAATGATTTAGTTACATTGTGTGAATTTCATAGTATCTGCGGGGCACGTTACAGTTGCGAAACGTTTATTTGTTGACTTGTTTCCAGATCGATCTGATAATCGAACTGTATATAATTTAGGGGTTTATAGGCACCTATTACTGGAAAATTAAGTACTTTAAAAAAAGCATTCTCTTTATGTGAAGGTCAGCTTGATGTAAATTGAATTGTGGTTTATAATTGTCGTAATAAGCCTCACAAAAAGTTTTGCTACCACATTTATAAATAGTGTTTATGGCTTATTTTTAGTTAATGATGACGGCACCGTTATGCAGTGGTTAGCAACGAGTTGCAGCGATAAGGGGCGCGAGTTCGAATCCCGCACGGAACAAATATTTGTATTGCCTACAAATAATTGTTCCGGGTCTGGATGTTTGTTCTTGTGAAATGTATGTTTGTTAACTGCCCCACGATATAGAAGAAAATACTGGTGTGGATGTAACGTTTTGGTATAAAAGAAAAAAATTTCAACGATAATTTAAGTTATAATATTTTTAAACATGATCGCAGCTTTAAAATTTAATCACGTCTGTTATTTAATTTCTTCAAGTGCGTGAAGTACGATCATTAAAAAAAAAACTATTAACAGCAATTTTAAAAATCGAATTAAAATTAATACTTTTTAAACTCAAATCTCTCGCAATGTCTTTAATTTTCAGTTGATGTAAGCTGATTGAATAATTGTCAAATGATTTGCAATTGTGTCGCGGTCAAAACGCTATGCAAATTTTCAGTACCTAGAGATAATTGGCCTATCCTATCCGAGTTAGGCAATGTGGTTGAGTCTAGGCTGCCTGTATCTAAGTACGCTTAGAAAGGACTGACTGCTCTGGGTCGTTCACCTTGTTTTATCGGATTTTGTCAAGTGTAATATACATTAATGAAAATAAAATAAGATGTAGCATCGTTTAATTACTTCTTATACATTATTATCACCATGATTACTACAGCTCTTCATAAATCCCCTTCCGAACATAGGCATCAGGAATGCCTCAGAACACGGTTCTAAGCCACCTGCATCCATCGACTTCCTGCATGTCTAACCAGGTCTTCACACCATATAGAGGGGGGGAATTGTCCTACACTTCTCTTACCGGTACAAGGCTGCCTCTTGAGACCCTTTCTTCCCAACATTATATAATGTTAAAGAAAACTATATCTTTTGAGTTAAAAAGCATGCATATTTTTTACGTTTATACGGTTACGGTTATTTCACGTGTGTACGGTTCGTTTGGCGTGCCTTGCTACTATTCGGGATTGCTCGCCACGACTCGTCTCACTTCGCAAATGTCGGTTTTCTGCACGAGTCAAAGGCGCTCGCTTGGATTCGGCAAGTCTTGTCCATACATATGCTAGTCGACCATGTCATTATGTTTACTCTTTCAAAGTTGACCAACATGTAGACTGTATCACTCTATACTACTATTGATCATTTAGAAGCTTAATTTAAGCGATCCATTAAGTCGATGGATGCTGGTGGCTCAGAATTCTGCTTTAAATCATTACTTGGGGAGGCCTATGTCCTGCAGTGGACTGTAGAGACTTAGAGAGACTGTAATGACGATATTGATAACGATATTTATTCCCGCACAGCAACAAATCTTATTGTATCTTTTGAGATAGGTGGAAGATACTGAGCGTCATTTGTCAGTGTCTTAACTAAATTACACAATCATGACGGCTCCGTGGCGTGGTGCCTTAGCAGTAAGTTAGGACGCTAAGGGTCGCGGTTTCAAATCCTGCACGGAACTATGTATGGCCTACAAATAATTGATCCGGGTCTGGATGTTTGTCTTTGTGAATTTTTATGTAAACGACATCCACGATACAGGAGAAAATTTTAGTGTCAGGATTACGTTAGAATAAAAAACCAAACAATTATCTAGCTGCATGCTTGTAATTTTCTACTAGTTCATATAAACCTTATATAATGTTTTATTTTTAATTACTCGTAAAACCAACTAATTTAACGAAATAATTGACAAGTCTTCAAGTTATTTCAACGAAACTATTTTCCTATTTCCTCAATAGAGCGCTATTAATATCTTTGTATAGTTTTGTAACACGTTAAGAATTTGAATTATTGAATGATTGCAAAATTGTCTTTTATTATATCTACATAGCATTCAAATTGCAATGTAAAATACTGTTATAGTGTCGTTTCACTTTCATTGCATGTAGTTTGAGCAAATTTTAAGTCTTTCTTAGGACAGAGCAATTAAAACGGTTTGTTAAAATTATTTGATATAATATTTGATCTAGCTACTAATACTACGCCATGTAACTGTTGATTGCAATTTTATGTGCTGATTTGTCTTGTGTTTGGTAGTGAAGGAAGACATCGTGAAAAAATGTGCAAGTCTGAGAAATTAAAAAAAATCCAGGACATGATGTGAAGTCCGTCAATGCGTCCATAAAACCCTTTCAGACATGACAGGCTTCCCCTTGTTTGTGAAAATGATAATATATATACGACATAGGCTGTAACTAACTAATATATAATATACGATTATATAAGTTTTTTTTTAATATGTGCCTCGCTTGCAGTAACTTCGACGTATAAAGAACCCTCAATTTATTACTTAATTTTATATTATTATTCTTTAAATCATAATTTTAATCACATTCTTAGAAACCACTACAGGCCTTCACAAGTCTAGTGCTGAATGAAATACTAAACAACGTAATATAAACTATTTTTTTAAATCCATTTACATCTGCCTTAATAACCTGAAACAAATAATAATGTGTCTTTAATCGAATTATAGATGAGATATTTGGAACTACTATCATTTGCAGAGACTACATGATTGTTTATCATCCAATATATTATGGGTTCTGTATTTCCATATTTCCTATGTAATTTACCACTGGATATATTATTTCCAGGAATGTTCCGCCTTGAATTCATTCCTCAAGAGATTAAAAAAGATATTTACTGTAACAATTTTAGTCGGAATTAGTGTCATAGTTTCATTGTATACACAATTATCAGTGTATCATAGTCCCACTACACCTTGGCGATTCGCATAACGCAATTCCGTTAACGTAGATAGTGATAAGTGTTCTAACGATAGTGAAAATGGTATTGATATAATTGGAGCTGTTAAAGAGTGCTAACCAACGGCTCGGACGAAAAGTGTAGCGGTAATTATCGAGGTGATTTTATGGCATATCATAAATCTTGGACAGATAGATTCAGAAAGAACTAGCATAAAAAAGTCGGTAAAGCATTTCCAATTACCCTGGTGTTGCAGTTGTTCATAGCAACAGCGGTGGTAGGCACAACGTGAGCCGCATGCTCGATTGCCTCCTCTTTTATATCCTCTTTTATTATATATATATATATATATATATATATATATATATATATATATATATATATATATATATATATATAACAGAAACAGACACTTTTGTGTTCAATGTGGATTGTAAACAATACTTATTGAAAGTCAATTTTTTTCATTTACCACTGGTTCAAAAAAAACCTCTGTCCTGGGAAGAACCAGGAAGAAACCCAGCGGGACAATTTTTTTTAAATAATAGCTTACAATCATGTTTATAATTATTAACAACACAAGACAAATTAGAAATGACTTGGTAGCGATCACCCTTCCCAGGGGTTATTATCATCCATAAATTCCTTAATATTATAATAACCCTTTTTATACAAACATAGTTTAATGAAATTTTTGAACTTTGCGAATGACAAATTTTGTATAATTTCTGGGATTTTGTTGTAAAGGCGTATACATGGCCCTAAGAATGAATTACTGACTCAGTGGAGTCGAGTA